AAAATTACAAATGGACTAAGGCTCCAGATAAATTTGAAATAAGATTTTGGAATTAATTACAAAGAATCTTTCCCATGGGAAAATGCTTTTGTTTTGAAATTTAAAAAAAACATAAGATTTTAAAAATTGGACACTATAGGTAACTAAAGATTACAGTTAAGGGAGAAGAATACATAAACTCAATTTACAGTTACAGAATGGAGCAAAATATTCTAACATTGGACACATTGAAGGATATTTTTGAAAAATGGACTCAGAAGTTGTTACTAATAGTGTCAACAGAGACCTCGGCCTCTATGGAGAGACTGTGTCTAAAAGATGTAATGGAAGAGGAACAAGTTTTACCTGACAAGATTGAAATTGATTTGAAAGTGGATTTAAAAATGACAGGCTACAAGAATGATATGGAAAATGATGCTATACTGGACATTAAAAAGAAACTGGCTGATGTCTTAATAGATATACAAATAATAAACCAAGAGACTGACCTGGATAGTTTTCCTATATTGGATTTACAAAAGAAGTTTGTTAAAGTTTTGAAGAATTTTGTGGGAAGGGATAAAGAAATAAAGTTCTACAAGATTATTTGAAGAGACTAAAGATCAAGATAGTTAGAAGTAAAAGAAAGGAATATAAAGTTGATCAAGGTTAAAATAGATATACTGTTATTTCTGGTAACCTTTAATGGACTTTTGCTGATACCAGGACTGAAATGGCAATGGATTTGTTTATAGATAAGTGATGGGATATGGGAAGAAGAGATAATTTGTTGTATTTTAAGAGGAGGTGATAAGTTACTAAAATGTGTGATGAAGGTGGGAATTCACTTCTTTATATATTTCCTTTCTTTTTCTTTACTATATTCTTACTTTTATTTCCCTCTTTTTCTTTTCTGCGCCTTCAACTCTTTATTCTTCTATCTTTCTTTTAGTTTGTATTAGTTTTTACTATTGTAATTATAATCTTTAATACAATTACTGTTGAAAAAATGAAATCAGTAGAAAGGGGCAAACACAAAAGCTAGAGGTTTGCTGAGGCTAATTTCAGAGCCATTCATTCATAAATTAGACTGAGCCTGAGTTAAGCAGTCACATGATTTTGTTATTTGTCAACTGCAAAAAATGTAAATATACTTTCCATTAGCTTAGATCTAGATAATCTAAAGCCACAAATTAAAGTACACTGAAAGTATTTGTACTACATTTTTTTCTTTGTTTTTAAATGAAATATAGTACAGCTTCAGGCCAACTTCAGAAATAATTAATGTTATTTTTATGTCTAATTTAAGGAAAGGGAGTTGCATTATATATGTGAAATTCAAAGATATTTCCACATTTTTCAGTTGTACATTATTTTTGAACAAAATAATTGTGTTTTAGGAAAAAAAGAATTCAAATGTTTTGTAAATTGTAGGGCTTTTTAAAATGATAGTTTGTTTTTTCAACCTTTTTTTCTTCACACTTTAAAATCTAGGTTGAAGAACTGCTGGAAAAATATATGGAGTCCTATGATATTGTTTTGGTGAAAGATGACTCTCTGGATGTGGCCAACTCAATCCTGCAAAAGATTTTGTAATATGTATCATCAGGGACAGCTTTGTTTTCCTTCTAATAAAAACTATTGGACTAATTAGCATGATCAGTTATCAAAACAATGCAGATGCTGCTTTCCACACTATTACCAGTTCATTTGGAAAGTATTGTATCCCTCATTATGATGCTCCATGCTGTTAAAATGTATTTCACTGTTTATTGTGCTCCTTATTTATTAGTTTCAATGGAAAGATTGTAAGGATTATTGGGGAATAAAAACTCCTTCAATTTTTATTCTTGCACAATAAAATGGATATTTTCAGAATTTGTGGAACTGTTGTAGAAAATAAGAGGAACATGATGGGAATGATCAAACGATTGATTAATCAGTAAAAATCTTTTGAGGTTTAGTAGTACAAATATGTGTAAATCACTAAATGTTGAGAAAGCTGACTATTTGCTTCTTCATAGTGGAAAGTGTAGTTGAATCTAACCATTTTAAAGTCATGCTGGCTTAAACAGGGCTATGTTGAAGCAGATATTGTAGAGCTTTATAGTAGTATTGTAACAAAAAACATCATTTTTAGTAGTACTGAAATTTGAAAGGTAGCTCCACAGGAAGCTATTTCACTGTGTTGTGCTATAAGATATAGCTATTAAACATGAATGTCAAGTGTTAGAGTTCTCTTCATCACTTTTTCTCCTCTGCAAGCTTTCATGAAAACAAGTGTAAAAAGCGCTTTTACTGTTGTTCACCTGTAAACTTCTGGCAAGTAGGAAGAAGACAAAATTCCCCCCTCCCTCCTTTTAAACTAGACAAACATTATTGCTTTAATTCTCCTTTACAAGGATGTGGATTTGTCCAGGTACAAGCCACTACCCAACAAAAACTGAGAATCTTTTCTTGTAGTAGATAGACCCAGGTCAAATGTTTATCTCTCAAGTGAACACATTCTTGATCTTCATTTAGCTTCTAAACAAATATCTTTTGATGGTAGATGTGAGAAGGATTACTGTAACAGTTGCTGGTTTAGACTCCTAGAGGATAGGCTTACCAATCCAAGCTTTGCAAGCATAGTTTGCCACTTGGAATACCTATAATTAGAACTTGTTGAAGAAAAAACAGCCTAATCTCTTGTGGAATTCCATAGTTTTTTGTCAGATGCCACCTTGAGGAGTGGAGCTGAAGAAAGAGAAAAATGGAAGAGATAGGTAGGGCGTGCTATGCAAGAGCTGCTACAGCAAAGAATGAGTGATGCATTCTTTGCCCTACTTATCCTGTGGGATCTTACAGATTCTAAAAGGTGTTCCAGGTTTCCTTTTTTTTTCTTTTCTTTTTTTGCCAAACTAACTAACCTGAAACACTTCAGGAGAATTTTGAAAATGCAAGGGTTTGCTTTCCGTTCAAAACAAAATGCTTTCCATTTCATGCACAATCCAACTAATTATGTTTCAGTTTGATTTCCCTTTCAAAAATGTTGATAATGAAGGACGGATGCATCACATAATAGTACAACCTTGTTCCAGTTATCCAGATTCAGCCTGCGATAAAATCTGATTGCTACTCATTCATAGCTGTATTACCATACAATCCATTGGTCATTATTTATCACACAAAGATACTTATACAATGGCACTGTTCAGTGCTTCAGATTCCATTTGGAAAGGGTGCTTTGGAGAGCTCAGGAGCACGATTATAGCACTAGTCCTCAATACCTTAGACCAATGTTCCTCTGCCTCAGCAACTTTATGATGTGTGGACTTCAGCTAGTTGGGGAATTCTGGGAATTGAAGTCCACACATTTTAAGGTTGCTCAGTTGAGAAACTGCATTAGAGCAGCGACACCTTTTCCTGGGATCTGGCAGCTGCTGTGCATAGCCACTATATGATACCAAGAAAAAGTTATTTTAAATAATTGCATGCAAGCGTTACATTCATTCTCCTATGCTCTTTGTAATGTGTTTTTCAGATTGAATTTGACATAATGGAATGTTTTAATAATTAGTAGCCATTTATATGAGTACCTATAGGTTGTTCTTCAGTTTTGTTTCCCTCAAATCTGTGGATATGATCTAATGTCATTCAATGTGTCCCAATAATATATCTATTCACAGATGTACAGGAAGTCAAAGTGCAAAAATTACCAAGTATTTACTTCTTCTCACTCATACATAAATGGAAGCATCTTGCAGAGTTTACTTGTCAGCATTTTATTTAATAATACCAGAATGTATTGCATTTGACAGAACATGGTATTATTAGTGTTACAGCATAGAAAATCCACACAACTGTACTTATAAAACTATTTTAAATGGAGTGCTTTAAAATGAGCACCATTCTACAGTTACAGGTCTCACTATCCTGGGGAATACACTAGTACATTTTCTATTAGTGTCATGGTAGCCTTCTATACTTTAGTAACTTTTTGACTTAATCTGTTTTGTTTTTAAGGGGTAAATTTTATAGACAAGGCTGGCATTTGAGAATGAATCTGAAATCCACTTAAAAGTTCTGTTTGAAGAGTTAGATGGACTAGCCATGCTAACTTACACAGGTGCAATCAACAGCTGCATCCACATTTTTACAATACATTTTTCTTTTTCCTAAAATATATAAAAGACAAACACACATTTTTAAAATACCCAATGCAACTGTTCATCAACAGCCTCATACAGTGAAAACTCATGACTTATGCAACATTTACTATATGGGTCATTTTTCTTTGCAGTAGAAAATCAGAGCTTCATTCACATTCGTCCTATTCTCACCAGATTTTGCTGACTGGCAAGTTTCTTGTTTCTCTGCTGCTGATAGCAGAGAACAGCCATTTTTGTTCCACACTAATTCATCATTGCTGCTTTTGGTAAAATAGAGCAGCTAAGACCACTAGCAACTCTAGTCTTAAGAGTGTTAGCCCTGCTCTACAACTGAACACAGAACACTCTCAAAGCAGTTGCTAATATTGTCATGATCTGAGCAGTAGTGTTAGTAACCCTATTCTAATGAATGTTGTGGAGGTGGCAACATAAGCAGTAGGGGAAGACTTACAGAAAGCTTTGGCTGGGTGCAGAAAAGCTAGGGCTGCGGGTTGCCTATCTGCACTTTAAAATTACAATATTTTATCATTTGGGAGGAGGGGAAATAGAAGATAATTCATTACCACTATAATTCAATTATTAAGGAAGCATAAGATTTTAATGCCAGTGCACTGAATACTGATTCTCCCCCCCCCCCCAAAAAAAAGATACGGATTTCCTAATAATATTTTTATCTTCATTTTTTTCAGAATCCATTCCCTATAGTGTAGCATATCACCAAAGGGTAGCAAAACGGGAAAAGGCATGATTTTAATGAAAGCTTGTACCTTTGTATCAAAATTTCAAAGATGTGGGCTATAAAATTTACCCCTTCAGGCAAGTTTGACAGATTCAGAGTTGTATGATGTTTGCTTTCCAGGTTATGGCAATGAAAAATTGAGAAGTAGAGATTTCTTGGCTCTCCCTTATTGGCTTCTGTAGGTGAAAAGGAGAAGGGAGAAGAGAAAAGAAAAGCTACAGAGAAGTGAAGACAAGCAGGTCCTGTAGCACACTCACCCCTCTTTATGACCCAATTGAATGATACTGTCCTACTTCCTGCTGTAAACAGACAGGAGAGCGCCACAGCCAATTTTGCATGTACTGTACACTTTCTTGCCTGTGGCCTCTCAGCAGACATCCCTGATGACCTACTTGTTCCCTATTTTAGATAGGAATCACAATCGCTAATCTAAAAAAAAGTATGTGACAGTGATGATAAGAAAAATGGCAAGGACAAGTATTGCAGGCAAAAGTGTGCCAACAATGCTGTGAGGTCAAAGAAACATTTACTGCAGTGTAGAAAATGTCCTGAAAGAATACAAACCACGTACAGAAAGCTACTAGAACAAAGTGATGAAACTCCATCACCTCAGATAACCTGATGTGAAGAGCTGCACTGTAGGAACAAACCTTCCAATAACATGCTTTTTCACATACTGTATTATTTTTGTTTCTGAATATAATGTTCAAACTTCATAGGCCAAATTTATTTTTTTCACTTCAAATAATGTAGCCCAAATATTATTGATATTGAGAGAAATACACAAATGTGAATCATATTAATTTGCATATGAAAATGTTCCAATTTAAATTTTTCCAGAAAATCCACATCTCTGCAAAAACTCATTAAAATGAGACATAAAACTGAATGTATCACTATGGTGGGATGTATGCTGTTTAAAAGTAATCAAAATCCATTTTGAGGCACTTTGTGTTTTTAATATAAATGCCCTAATCAAAAACATCTTCATTTTACACTCCTATTGTATCTTAATTCACACAGAGACATGTTCATTTTCACATCCTTCGTTTTAAGTATGCACAGAGATTTCAGATCATTTCTATGGTACATACATTTTAACAGCAGTTCAGCTCATACAGTTTTTAAAAACCCAACTAAGTTACAGCTCATCATGTCCCTGTGGCTCCTGGTCTTTCAGTTTGAATTCTTCAGAAGTAATCTTGCCATCTCCATTTCGGTCCTGATTGTTGAACATATTCTTCACAATTGTTTCAGAATCATAACCAGGGGCTAGCTTTCCTTTGCCAGAATTGACTTGGTCGTGGATATATTTATTGAACTAGAATTTAAATGATAAATAAATAGGAATAGGAAATAAAATGAATTTCAGTATTGTAATTTAAAAACTGCATGTAACTGGTAGAATCTGAATGCATTTCCATACTTCTACATTTAATATTAAGACACAGTTATAATGCTGGTTTAGATCTGGAGTTCACCATGTTGATCTGACTCATTGAAACTAACATGATATAAGTTAGCCATGATTAAGCCTCCATCCAACCCTTTATTTGATGGGCATGCGTGTCCTCAAAGTGGTCTAAGTTGCAAAAGCTGTTGTATGATGACAGCAGTCTTGCCTTTTGAGGCTTTCTATAGCCCAGTGCCACAGGATATAGAACTGATTTTACTCAGGCCGTCTTCATAAATTATTTACTCTATGATTGATGCTCATCTTATGACTGAGCTCTCATCTTTATTTATTTATTTTTATTTATTGGATTTCTCTCCGGCCCATCTCCCTTACAATAGGGGACTCTGGGCGGGTTACGACGAGATTAAAACTATAAATATATTTAAAATACATCCCATATATACAATTAAAACAATACTAGAAACAAAAAATCCAAGATGATGGAAAATCAGGGCAGGGACAGCCGGCCACTATGGGGCTAGCCATCTCCCT